CCAGAGCAAGAAGGATCCGGAGAAATACGCTCGCTTCTTTGATGATTACGGGCTGTTTATGCGCGAGGGCATCGTCACCACAGCGGAGCAGAGCGTCAAGGTGCGAGACGACTCGTTTAGCCTTTTTAATCCACCTGATTCTCTCTGATTGTGTTTAAACATCTGAGTTTTGTCGTAACAGGAAGACATCGCTAAGCTGTTGCGTTTCGAGTCGTCTGCGCTTCCTGCGGGACAGCAGACCAGCCTGATGGAGTACGCCTCTCGGATGAAGGCGGGAACGAGGAACATTTACTATCTGTGCGCGCCGAATCGCCACCTGGCCGAGCACTCGCCGTACTTTGAGGCCATGAAACAGAAAGATATGGAGGTGAGACTAGAGACAATCAGGTACACAGTTAATATTCTCTGTCATACTCGAGAGAAAATGGGTGATGAATCTACAAGTTGATCCGAAGGCTGATGCAATGCATTGCAGATTTGCTGGAAACAACTGCTAATTAATTTGCAATTAAAAATGTACTCAGTTCACTCCTATTTTGAAAGCATAAACTGTGCATTATCCATTGACAAGGCTGTCGACAGATCCTGAGATGAACACAAGGGGGCGCCAACGCTGCTGTTTATCTCAGAATGGCCAAAAGTATTGGTCAGCAGCTAATGGAAGGCTAAAGATGCATTGATTAAATAATTTAATCTATTTTGTTGTGGTCACATGACAGAAATGATAAAAAGTTGTTTTCCCAAGGTCTCAATTTTTTTTCATCTTAAGAAAAAGTCAGATTCAAAAGGTGCATAATTGTATATGTTTAAACAACTACATGTAATTTAATCATAATATAAACATCTACATTTAATAATATAATTGTATTATACTTTTAATAATATTTTAATATATATTGAATAATAACATAAAACATTTTTTTATTTAATGTCTGTCTGTTCTTTTACACCACAGGGTAAAAAAAAATGGAGAGCTCACTTAATATTAAAACCTATTACCTTTTATTAAGACAGAGACACTCTTCCTCCTAATTAATATAACAGTATATATTAAATTAATAACATTGTTTAAAAAAAAACATGTTTTTTAATCTCTAACCTTTTAACCTTCAAAAGAACAAACTAATTTAAATATTTATTTCTTTATTTATTTTTTATTTCATGCTTATTTATTATTGATTTATTCTATTAATCATTCTGTATTTACATTTCAATATTTATAAAACAATACCTATATTTAATTGGTTAAACATTTACAGTTAAGCACAAGCAGGGTGTCCGCGGGTCCTTAAAAAGTCTTAAAATGTCTTAAATAACGATTTCCTAATATAAGGCCTTAAAAAGTCTTAAAATGTCTTAAATTTGGATTTGATGGGTCTTAAATATTTTTGGTCACATTACCGCTAAAATGTCTTCAGTCTGTCCAATGATTGTAAACAGTCATTAGGTCCGTCAGACTGAAGAAACCTGCGGTAAGTTACTGAGTCATCAGAGAGAATTGCAGTAAGTTAGCAGAATACAGAATACAAGCTCGCGCTGAGGCTCACTCTGTTTGTCTCTTTGTGAGAGACTTCAGAACAAATGAGCGTAACAGCACACATAAACTCAGAAGAAACACACTGAGGTAAAAATTCTAAATGTTTAGTTTATTCATAACATGATATAGTTAA